GAGTAGATAAAGCATTTAATGCTTCAGTTGCATTACAGTTTAAAATATACAGGATTTCTCCTCACAGCAGGTGAGTGAGTTCTGAAGCATATGCTCCCAGCTCTGTAATCACTCAAATGTCAGGTAATCCCTTAATCTCAGTGAGCTTTTCTGTAAAGTGGGCACACTAAACAGTTTTGCAGCACAGGACTATTATATCAAGTGAAATAATTAAAGCACTCTTAAACTGTGGGTTGCTGTGTAACTACTTCTAGTATATTATCTGTGTGCCAAGATGACACATGACTCACTAATTGATATCAGTATTTATTCACACATGCAGTTCATTTTCAGAAAATAGTCCTTGAAGAGGAGAGGAAAGTGAGCTTATTGTAAAATTAATGATGATAATCTCTCTATCACCTACAGCCTTTTCTCAATTCCTTTAATCATACACTGACTAGTTCCAACCTGTTGCCTTCATCAACATAAATTGTCATTATCACTCTCCTCATTATGAAACATTTGTGCGATTTAAGCCATGCTTTTTAATGAGTTAAGAACAAAGCGATTTTTGTTCTGGTAAAGAACAACTAGAACAGCTGACCCCTCAATAATGAGAAAGGTGTTTTTCATCCTTTCCATGTCCAAAATATGACATCCACATATTGCAATATTTTTAGTAAGGTTACTTATAGTTTTAGCCATCCTATTGTGTGCTAATGGTAGATCGTTTTAAATGATAAATTTAGCAATTTCATTCAGAATAAGTTTCATCCCTATAGGATATAATACCCTTAAAATGTGACATGATGTGTTGTAAAGGCCAGGCATCTGATCCTCCAAGCACTGAACTTCTGCTGGGTTTCTGATGCTCTCTGCGATGCTGAGCGCGCACCCGTTTCAGGGAGCCCGTGGGAAGACGCTCACTGCCGCCGTCAGTCTTCTCCAAGGCGCTTTCTAAACCTGACTTAAGTTCAGAATCACCCGGAAATCTGATAAAAATGCAGAATCTCTCCTTTTACATCCTGGGGACTCTGTGCCAGGAAGACTGGGAAGCTGTCTAATCCTCTCTATCTTGCTTTCCGTTCTCTGGTTGAGTCTGAAGATTGGCCCACCCTGGGCATCAGTAGGCTAGGCCATCTCCATCTCTCACGTCCATACTCAAGGAAACCTAAATGCCAACAACTGCCATCCCAGTCCATGAAAACCACTCTTAATAAAGTCAGCTCCTTGTTGCTTAGGCCATATTTCCTTATTAGCTCAGTACACGTTTACTGAGAACCTACCGGGGCCGGGACATTGTGTTATGCATTACAGATGGAGCAGAGAGCAAGGCGCAGGTTCTGTTTCAGGAAGCTTTACCTCTGCTTTTAGAGTATTTGACACGGAGGCCTACACTTGTTTTTTGAAATTATTACTTTCTTTCTCTTGCTTCCACAGCACTCTTGTCTCCAACTTGCCAGGTAGTTCACACTTGGACTTTGTTAGCTTACGATAAGTGAAAGTTTGGTCGAAAGAAGGAACTATGGGTAGTATAACTAGAAAGCTCTGCAGAAATTTATAGGTGGAGATTTTGAGGTGTTTTGATAACTTTACATAAAATAAAATTATCTCATTTTCATTATATATTTTGTAATATGATTAAATTTAATGATCCCTTTATATTAAATTAAGACCGTATATAGATATAACAAGCAAGATTCAAACAGACATTAATGAAGAAGCATATCTATTTCTTGATATTTAATATGTAAAAAAAGGATTATGTTCTCTTTATATGAATTTTGATTGACCAGTTTCTAGTTCTCAATTAGGGATAGATTTCGGAGACTATATAAAAGAAAAAACTTCTTTATACATACCTATTTTGCTACTAAATTCAATGAGATAGTTTTTATACTGAGGGAATATTTCAGTCTTACATTTTCATAAACATTTAAAGGAAATATGATTAAAAATGTTCATATTAGTGTCCATATTAATTTTCCACTATATATATATGTATATTTACTTTTTGCTTTTTATTTTTTTGAAGATGCACATGAAACATGGGTTGGTGTGTAACATATTATCTGACAGATGTAAGTTCTGGTTTAGTTCTAATAATGACACTTCAATAACCTGTGTTTAAACTATAGTTTTGGGCTGTATAGAATTTGGAATACTCTCTTTTTGATCAAATGTATATCATTCATTGAAAAATTCATGGGATCCATTTTCTCTTTCAGGCAGGAGGTGACTAAGAATCATCCCTACTGAAAAATGTCTTTTCTATCCTTGCTCTGCACTCCTACTAGGTCTCTTACTCTTGCTCAAGCAAAAATTCTGCATCTGTTGCTGGCTCACTGTGGCAGTATTATCAGGATGAGGCAGTCATTATTTTTATTCCTATTTAAACTGTCCCCAACATCCTTTATGATTATAGTGCTTCTGCAAATGTGCTTACCTCTGGGATAGGAGTGAAGGTAGGGAAGTGACCTTCCCCTACCCTGTAAATCCATGAAGGAAAGTTCAGAATATTCTTTGTTGTTTCTGACAATGTAAAAGGGAAGGCTAGTTTAACTAGTCCATTTCTAGTGATCAGCAGACCCCTTACTCCATTTCTCTGCTTTCCCTGCTTCTTCCACGTGCGAAAGAGCTTATAATCAGTTTTTGAGTACTTTGGTCTTAAATATGAATTGTCAGGCAGTAAATATCTAACTTCTGTGGAGAGGTTCCAGAATAAAGTAACCAAACAAAAAATAAAACTTGGAACTATTCTAGAAGGAGAAGAAAACGAAACATTTTCTGTATTAGTTCCATAGCTATAGAATAAATAGAAAACTAGAAAGAACTTCTAGAATTTAAAAATATGATAAACAATTCATAAAAAAAGGAAGCTAAAGCTAGTAAGACAGCTTAGAAAGTAAAGCCCAAAAGAAAGTGTAGATGAGTTTGATAAAGTACAAAATTAAGAAAGAAGAAAAATTGAGATTCAAAAACTGGGACTCTGATTATTCGGGAAGGTGGTAAAATAACATTTAGAAAAGAATCAAATTCAAGTAAATGGAAAATTTTACAACCAAAAAAATTATCAAGTAACAACCCCAGAAAAATCAGAGCCAAGAATATATAAAAAAAGAATGTCATAATATACTACTTAACTCTGCGGTGAGTGATATTTGTTTAGCCGTAGCTGCCATCTATTGACTATTTTGTAAATAATGTAACTTACTAAACCGGGAAGTTGGGAATTGGGAAGACTGGAGGTAGTAGAGAGAAAATCTTCAATTACTGTAGCAGGGTATCAAGAACTAATGTCTATAATATTTGATTCAGGAGACAGTGGAAGAATTTCATTTCTTAGAATAATGGAGAAAATGATGTGAAATCTGTTTTAACACAGGAGTGGGGCCTGAGATGTAACAAGGGACTTCTATGTTTCTTTATAGCACTCTTACTGCTTTCTGAGTTCAAAAACCTGATAAACCCCTTTGAACATTATTAATCTGATAAAAAATTTAAAAAGCAGAAAAAGTAGCTTGCTTTAAGTTACTGATTATGCTCTTTTGTTTCTTAAGAATATACAATTAAACAAAATAGAAGGGAACGTCTCTACTGAGTTGTGCTCTGTGTGAAGTCTGGGTAAGATGCAGGATGTGTGCTGTTTTGTTTAATTTGGTGTTGAGGCCCTTTGCTGTTGCTCTGCTTTAATTTCCATGTTTCCTGTTTCACATGGGAAGGTCCCCCAGATCAAAATGGAAATAACCTTTTCCCTATAGAAGGCCTGGGAATGGCACTTTGATTCAAGTCCCCAAAGAGAAAGGGAGACTTTTCTCAGACTGAGATTGGGGCTGGGAGTTCTTCCTTCCTTGTGGAAAATGAAAGGCATCTTCATAGAACCTCAGAAGACCTTCACTGCTTTTTATACAGCTTGAAATATCTGGATTTTCAGAACACCAGATTAAATGAACAGTAAATAAGGAGAAGGCACAGAGTCATGACACGGTTAGTGTCTGCTAATCGCCAGGCATTGCAACCGGTGCTCTGCACATTTTATTCTTCTAATCATAAAGCTATGAGGGAGGTGTTTTTTATCTCCACTTTACAGAGGAAGAAAAAGACTGTAAGTGATTTTCCAGCAGCTATCAGAGATAACACCTCAGATTTGTTTGATTAAAATCACTTTCAACTGCATATTGTGAACCTCCTAGGTATACTGGAACCTGAAGTATTTTCTGCGACACATAAAAAATAATTTGGGGTTCCCATACCATTTTGGTTTGATTGCATTATCAGTGCCGTAGCGTGTGCACGTGAGTCAGCTGCGGAAGGTTTGCCCTGTTGGAGCCGGTGAGTGCTGGAGGCCTTTTACCACTGTGACCGTGTCGAGGGGAGGAAAGAGAATTCCATGAGGTCTTCACACAAAATAAATTTGAAATGTAAAGACAGAATATTATTCCATTTCTTTTGGTCCTTATGATCAAATTATGGAGAAAAACTCAGTTTGGATTAGTCTCTAAGATTTACTGATATCCTTAGGAAAAAAGTGGGTGGGTGACTCAAGCTTATAAGTTAAAAAAAAGTTTCAATGTAAAATTTAATAGTATGTTGTGGGCATTTTCTATGTTATGGTTATTGTATGTTATAACAATTATAGTAGTGTTAGATTTTTCAAAACTAAAAGTATTTAATTGAAAGTATTCAATAAATGGTTACACTTGTAATATGTGTAGATTTAGGGAAAAAAAAACCTTGTGAAAATGATAAGGAAATTACTGCCATTTGGGAAATGACAAGTTCAGATATTTTCCTCTGTCCTCCTGTCTTCTGTGTTAATATGCAGAGAAATGACTTCCACACAGAGAAACCAGGGACCTTAGGTATTCCCTGCACAACAGTTAGGGAGTGGTGGGGTGTTGGCATCTCTCTCTCTCTCGGCAAGTAAGAGTTCCCTCCCTGCCTCCTGCCCTCCCTCTCTCATTCTATTTCCCTCCCTTTCTTTCCTCGGAGTAATTTGAGACATATTGTCTTCCCAGGTACAGAGCCATTGTAAACCCCATGGACGTCCAGACATCAGGGGCGCTGCTGTGGACCTGCACGAAGGCTGTGGGTATCTGGGTGATCTCCGTGCTGTTGGCTGTTCCCGAAGCGGTGTTCTCGGAGGTGGTGCAAATTCATAGCTTGGATAATGGCAGCTTTACAGCGTGCATACCCTACCCTCAGACTGATGAATTACATCCAAAGATTCATTCAGTGCTCATCTTTTTTGTTTATTTCCTCATACCCCTTGCAATCATTAGCATTTATTATTATCATATTGCAAAGACCTTAATTAAAAGTGCACACAATCTTCCTGGAGAATACAATGAACATACCAAAAAACAGGTAAGCTGTGTGTGTGTGTGTGTGTGTGTCGGAGGTGCCCTGGGCAGCTGCAGTACTGCTGTGTTGTGTTCAATCTCACGGACTCTCAAAACCAGAAATGATTAGAACTGAGTCAGAGGGCACAGGGACATGCATTGGCCTGAGCTAGAAGGGACATTGGGAATCTCTAATGTGTGGCCATGTCAAAGCTTTGTAAAGGCTCACTGAGGCCCTGCCTCTCTGTCCCTCTAGGCTTACGACCATTATCATTTTTGGAAGAATTTTTTTATTTGGAAATGTTTATGCAAAGAATCACATAAGAAAACAGAAACATTTCGCAGTTGAAGTATAGATTTATTTAATTTTTGTTTCTTTTCTCATTAGCCCACTGAGGATGACAGGAAGTCTGGGATCAGGGACGGACTGTAGGAAAACTGCCTGGGGTCTGGGAAAGAGGTTTGGGTGGGATGTCGGGATGGGAGGCTCTGGGAGCTGGGCAGCAGAACGGGAGAGGAACCAAAGGCTGCTGCTGGAGTCGTTCTTGGTCTAACTCAGCTTTATAGATTTTCTCATGAAGATTGTATACTGATTTAAAAACTGTAACACATTACATACTTTTTCTTCCTTAAAGAATATGAAGCACTAAATTAAGGAAAAACCACATTAATTCACAAAGAGATGGAAATACTGTACTTATGGGACAAGTTTCATGTGCACTCCTAGTGGGGAACTTCTTCCAAAGGTACAGGGAGGTTCTGGGTGACTCTTCCCTAATCTGAATGAAGACACATTGAATTTCAGATCATTAAAGTTTGCTGTGTTGTAGATGGAGGCACAGGCTGGGGCTTTGGGGACTGTAGCCACAGCAGAACCCCATCCAGGTCTCTTACTTGGAAGGTAACCTCCATTTATTGATGCACATCAATGGGAGAGATCCTTATCTGCTTCAAAGTCTTAAAAGGTTAACTAATCATTAAAGAAATTCTTAGGTAAAGTAGATTTATTTTCTAAATATAGGGCACCTAGAAGCAAAAATGTTCAGGTCATATATTTTTTACTTTTCATGTAATCTTTAAATTCAGAGCCTGTGATCTAATTTTTATCTCAGTTTGGGTGTTTGAGTTTTTGATCTGGTCTCTAAAGTTGAGTGTCTCTTACCCTCTCCACCATCATTTTTTATTTAAAGGCCTTAGTCCTGCCTTTATTTTGTAAATTTCCCTACTGAGACTTATAACCTCAGGCTGAGTAATTGTGCTTGACATCTGCTGAGAAGTAATCTCAATGCTAACAGCCTGCCTGTTCATTTGAATGTCCAAGTATAGATTGCCATGGAATGCTTGCCCCCATGCCCCACCTGCAGGGAAGAACACTGCTTTGTAATATAAATTTTACATTGACCTTCTTAGCGCTGCCAGGTCGCCTACTTTCCGCCTTGGGGAAACATCTGGAGCACCACATTCTTGTGCCTAAACTAGACTCCTTCCACTTGCCCCTACTTTGCTGTCACCATTCACTGCTGCTCCCCAGCGTCAGTCCTGTATGATTGCCAAACACTTCCAGTCTCTTCTCTCATATCTAGTTAGTTTAAGCTCAGAAAATGTTATGTCTCTTGTTAGCAATATTATCAGTATCTTTTGATAAATTGTTTTCACAGTGATGTTGCCTTATGTAAATATTTAAAAAAATCAGACTTATATCAGCTCACCTTGGACTCTAGATATTAGAAAATGTTTTTTGCCCTGGCTGGCATAGCTCAGTGGATTGAGCACAGGCTGTGAACCAGAGTGTCGCAGGTTCGATTCCCAGTCAGGGTACATACCTGGGTTGCAGGCTGTGACCCCCAGCAACCGCACATTGATGTCTCTCTCTCTCTCTCTCTCTATCTCTCTCCCTTCCCTCTCTAAAAATAAATAAGTAAATTAAAAAAAATAAAGAAAATGGTTTTTAGATTTGAAAAGATCAATGTCCTATACTTGAATTGTGTCAATTTATCGCATTCCTGAAGACCTGCCTATAAAGCAATAAACATAGTATGTAAATTTATGAAAAGAAAAAAATGTATAGGATTGACAATTAGGTCAGATGCTTTTGATTTATGTGAGTCTGGAGTTTAAATCTTAAGGGTTTTTTGTGTAGTAAGGGTTAAAGAATTATACCTTATTTTAATGAATGTATTTTACCTATTTAATATATTCTGATTAAAAAAATGCAAGGTTAGCTCTGGCTGGTGTGGTTCTGTGGATTGAGTGCTGGCCTGTAAACCAAAGGGTCCCAGGTTCTATTCCCAGCCAGGACACATGCCTGGGTTGCAGGCCAGGTCCTCAGTGGGGGACATGTGAGAGGCAACCACACATTGATGTTTCTTTTCCTTCCTTCCTTCCTTCCTTCCTTCCTTCCTTCCTTCCTTCCTTCCTTCCTTCCTTCCTTCCTCCCTTCCTTCCTCTGTCTATAAAAGTAAATAAATAAAATCTTTAAAAAAGAAAATAAAAAATGTAAGATTGAATATATTCTGTGGGCCCCTCAGTGGATTTAATACAAACAAGTGATTTATAATTAAAGTGAACATGTAACTGAGCAGATTGGGCCTGCCCACATGGTGGCTTGGTGAATGACCCAACAATTAATGCTGGAAGGGACAGGTCTTTATTCACAATATTCTAACCTTGTGGGGCTTCAGAGCACTTCCTCTTGGAGCCCTGTTCTCCCACGAGACCCAGCACTTCCCTTGCTCCCCAAAAGACTATAAGCAAAAGCAAACCCAATAGTTGCCCCATATTCTTATCTTAAAGCAGCTGCACAAACAGTTCTCCAGTCTCTCTGGAAAGTGCCAAAGTTGCCATCATCACCCAGCTGCTCCCTCCTTCAGAATCTGTGGTATGTTGTCATCAGCCTCCATGTAATAGTCCAGGAAAACATGTGCTGGTGTGTACTGGATGGTGATGAAGTTCAGGAAAGTTCCAAGTCTCAAGAGTCCAGATAAAGCCTGGGTATGCAAGGCAGTAGGTCAGTGTCTTGCAAGGCAGAGTCTTTGGCGGTTTCTGAGTCAGCTAGAGTAGGCACAATCAAAGCAGCATGCTTGCTTTCTTACTTGCCCACGGTGGACCAGCTCCTACAGCCCTCATGACTCTATCTCACTACCAGGAGCATGCTGGAACCTACCTTCACTACCAGCTGCCTCATGGCTCTCTCATGGCTCTCCTGCTCCTTTCTAAGCCACATGGCTGAATCCCTACAAACTGCAAAGCTGCTACTTCACTACTGGCAGCATGGCTCCTTCTACACCCTTTCAAACAGTGGTCGAATCGCTCCTGGCTCTCTGCCCTTCATTTAAATCCTGACTCAAAGCCTCCTGCATAACCTCATCTGACTCCTCCCACAATGAGCTACAGTTGCCAGTTCTCCTGTATTGTTTACATTTATTTGGCTGCCACCCCCAGTCAGGGCAAGAATGACTCCGTGATCCAGGGGGACCCCCACCTGCCCTGGCTATGTCACAAGTCAGGATACACCCTTAAAGTCAGGCCCGCCCTGCCCCCAAGTGGTAGCACAGCTATTAAACTAGTCTTCATTATGAAATTATCTTAAGTCATATCATCTGCTTCCCCCATCCATGAGCTATGGGGGAACAAGCTCTGTACCCGTAACAAACACAATAACTTTAAGCTAAAGAAAAATATTTAAAAATAAGAGAATTTTTAAAGATCACAGTGTTTTCCATAGAGACATAGTCATTTTTTAATAATGTGCCACCTAGTCTTAATAAGCTGTCAAATATTATGAATGGAAGTAGTGTAGTGACCACAATAGGATTAATCAAACTGTTAAAATCATCATGTTGTTGAGGAATATGAAGAGTTTTTGTATTTTTGGAAATGTTTGCATGCTATAATAAGTTTACTCCTTTTGTATTATGTCTCGAATATGGCTGGCTCCACTTTCATTTTACCAATGGGACTATTTCCTTGTATTTGCAGATGGAAACTCGGAAACGCCTGGCAAAAATTGTGCTTGTCTTCGTGGGCTGCTTTGTCTTCTGTTGGTTTCCAAATCACATCCTCTACATGTATAGGTCTTTCAACTATAACAAGATTGACCCATCTTTAGGCCACATGATTGTTACCTTAGTTGCTCGGATTCTGAGCTTTTGCAATTCTTGTGTCAATCCATTTGCTCTTTATCTACTCAGTGAAAGCTTCAGGAGGCATTTCAATAGCCAGCTCTGTTGTAGAAGGAAGTCCTATCCAGAGAGATCAACCAGCTACTTAGTCAGCTCTTCTGCAGTGCGGATGACATCTCTGAAAAGCAATGCTAAGAACGTGGTGACCAATTCTGTTTTGCAAAACGGGCACATCATGAAGCAGGAAATGGCACTGTAATGCTGGCCACTCAACTGACTGCCTGGAATTAACTTGCTCTTCTGTTTCTAGTGAGCAGAAAAAAACTAAGCAACTTTCTCTTTCTCAATACTTCTGAGCTAATTCATTAGACAATGTCATGATTGACTTACAAAAGGCAAGACAAACATAGCTAGCATTTTTCTCTAAACAGAATTTTAAATTATACATATATAACATTAAAAGTGATTCAAAAGCCAATCTTACATGTATATAAACCAAAATTCTTTCAGAACTTAAGCTGTTGCTAGAGCCAATGCTAGTGTTACCTTAAATTTATTTTTGCTTAAAGCAGGAAATTATTATATTGACTCAGTGATTCAATGAGGGTAATATTCAAACTTCTAATATTTCAAATATAAGTCCCATTTTTCTGGTGAATTTTATTCATACTTAGTGCATGCATGTATCTCCTTTGTTTGAATAAGATACTAGAAAATCCAAAGGTAGACTTAATCAAAAGCCAATACCTATTGTGATTCTTTGTGTGATTAAGCATAATTTCTAGAAATGACATATCTGTAACTTCTAGGATTGAGGACATTTATATTATAAATAGTAAAATAGATATCATCTGAATATGATTTTCATTATAAATGTAAAATAGGTATCATATGTTTTAACTTGTAAAATTGTGATTCAGAGATTGGCATGGCCATTTTTGAATACACTGGTAAATCCCCAGGTATTTGAATGATCCTGTATAGCTGTGATAAGATTTGTATAATTCTGGTGAATTCAACCACCTACTTATTCTTTTTTGTGACAGCCAGGTGACAAGGCAAGTTTACTCTGCATGGTAAGATAGTTTTTTTTTCTGAGTAAGTGTCTTGAATCTTTTTCACTAAAATAAAAAAGATTAAATTTGAAAGCTATTTTTTCTTAAGTGTGATTAATAAGTCTAACATTCAGATTAATATATTTCATACTATTTCTCTTTCCAAATTTGCTGGGTAGAAAGAACAACTTGGTTAGTGTATGAATCCCTTTCCTAAACATCTCTCTCCTGTGCTATTTAAGATATGAAATTCTCAATTTTATGTGGCAATAGAAAGGATAAACACAAGCAAATTGCCTGTGATAGTTGGTAAAAATAATTATCATGAACATTAATCACATTTTCTGTGTTCTAGACATAATCCTAAATCGTTACATGTACTATCAAACTTAATCCTCAATAAAACTCCTGAGGTGAAAAAGGGAAGGATCCAATTTTGGGTAGGATATGAGTTACACTGTTAGGGGTGTCTCCACTTAAAAAAATACACAAGGTTGCAAATTTCACACAAAAAAATACTTGATGATATGAACACATTGGCAGGGCCTTGAACTTATACCTCTGAAATATGTCTAGTTATTGTCTTTATTCTTAAAATTAGCAAACTGAGGCTCAGAGATGTTAAGAAACATAATGAGGATTATTCAGCCATGGAAAAGTAGGATTTAGAAATCCTACCACACCGTGGTGCCTGCACCCACCATCCCACCACCACTCAGTTGTGGCTTTCTTTCATCTTCAATAGTTGTTCCCATCGTTGGGAAAGTTGTAGCTCCACTCACCAGAAAGGTGCAAGATATTATACACAATTTTTTATTGACTTTGGGTATGTTATAAACCTTTTAAGACTCATCCATTAAAATAAGGAACCAAGGCTAATCCTTGTGCTCAACGCACAATCTTTTTTCTTACTGGTATTAAGATGATGGTAGAAATGTACATATGAAGATGGCAAGATATAGACATCTTGCAAGATCCTTTTAGTTTCATACACATGTGTATTGTTTTATGTATGTATATGAAACTAAGGAACATATGTATATTTTAGGTAGAAAGTCCTGATAATTTAAGGTTTAAGGGAATAATGTTGTTAGGTAATCTGTTGATTTAATTTTCAAGACTGAAAGATATTCATTCATTAAATATTTTAGAAAAATTTTATTTACACATATTTTGTGAAAATGTTTTTCTGTAATGGTACTAATGAAGTAAAAATGGGATCACAAGGTTCACTTTTCTTTTTATAAAGAAAAATTTTAACATTTTCCTCCCTGAAATGTAGAGGTTACCTGACAATAAAGGAAAAAAAAATAGAATGGTTTTTTGAGTTTACTTTTATCATTCTTAGGATAAGAATATTGCTTGCATTTCTGGTCATCACCCATGAGGATACATTTATAACCATAATTTATCCCCAAGTTTGTTTTTCTATTTTGTGCATGTTATGTAAAAATGGGGGGAAGAGAATAATAAAAATTAATGAAACATTTTTTGATACCAAAGCAAATATTTTATTCAACTATTTGCATGTTAGAACGTGTCTTAAATCTTTATATGATTCTATATAGCTGTAAAATAGTTAATGGGCTTTGAACAAGTACATTTTTTCATTTACTAATATTTTATTACTGGCTTCATTGCATACTTGGGAAGTATTTCTATTAAGCTTCTGACAAATGAAGTGTTTCAAACATCAGGCGTTTCTTAAAATAGAACAACTGTGTATTTCAACTTCAAATAAATTAACTGTGTGCACATTTTCCTTACAATTTTTCAAAACAATGGGACACAGTGTGAGTAAATATGGTCAGTTTTGGTGCAGAAAGCCATCTTTAAAGCCATCGCAGAATAAAAAGAAGATTGCTGAAGAAAGCCTGGTTTATCTGCATCTTTAATGATTATCGGAGGAAACATTACCTATACACTATAGTTATAGCATTTTGCACCATTTTATTTTCTAAATTATTTTTAAAAGTATTCCAAGAGCTCTATATTTTCCATATGTTTTGTCTTACCAAATTTTGAATGGGAATTTTTCTTATGTACAGGATCAGGTCTGAATCTGTGGTGGTGAACTTGTGTTTGAAGTAGTATAGAGGAAAATGTGATGAAGATTTCACTTCTAGGGTCTAACTCCTTTCTTGGGCAATAAATAATGATTCCTCATAGTAGAAAAATAATATAAATTTAATCCATGTAGGGACTTAAAAAGTGTTTTACAAAATGTTTAATGGTATTTGATAGAACCATTTGAAATAGTAAACCTGTCATCATTTGGGGCATTTTGCCATTGTAGATAATCAAATCTTTTAAAAAATATATGTTCCAAGTTTGTTTGTTTGTTTGTTTGTTTAATCATTGTTTAGTGACAGTTGTCCTGCCTCTTTCCCTTTGCTCACCCCCAACATGCCCCCTCACTCCCGTAGTCAATCCTTCCCCCACATTGTCCATGTCCATGAGTCCTCTATTCGTGTTCCTTTGCTGACCCTTTCCCTTCTTTCCCTGTGGTCACTGTCCCCCTCCCCTATGGTCACTGTCTGTTCTTTATTTCCAAGTCTCTGGTTCTGTTTTGCTCATTTGTTTGTTTTGTTCATTAGGTTCCACTTACAAGTGAGATCATATGGTATTTGTCTTTCTCTGCCTGGTTTGTTTCACTTAGCATAATGTTTTCCAGTTCCATCTATGCTGTTGTGAAGGGTAGGAGCTCCTTCTTTCTTTCTGCTGCGTCGTATTCTATTGTGTAAATATACCAGTTTTTTGATCCACTCATTTACCGACGAGCACTTAGGCAGCTTCCAGCTCTTGGCTTTGTAAATAATGCTGCTATATTGAAAAATCAAATATTTGAACATTCATATTACTTGCATGTGCTGTAAAAATTTAATTGAAAAACATAAGTCTATGCTTAAAACGTCTAATTTTCTGATGAATGTTAGAAATGTATCCATTTGCCTTGCAGGTGTGGTATTCTGATATTCTTCAAGTCAAAAAGTGTAAGCCCTCATCAGTATGACCCATCTTCTGCCATTTGCACTTGTTTACTTATGTGCATGTATAATAGAAAAAAGAGCATGTATATCAGATTGCAGAAACAAGAGAGGAGGGAAACCCGTGAGTTATTCTAATATGATGCTGTTGTATCCATTGTACTTATTTACCCTCCTAAATGTCTGGTTTTCAGTTGGTAAACCTTCTTTATGGCATGCAGGAAGAGTTTGGTTAAACAACTGTATGATGTCCTGCAGATACTTAAAACAATTTAATGGGAAATTGAATTTAGTGTACACTCCTGGTTTATTTTAAAAACACACATTTTTCCAAATAACAAATCACTAAGAGTAGTATTATTTCTGCTTATGTATTTAATCAAATAAATCTCTTAGAATCAACAAGGACCATATAAAAGTGCATACTGGATTTCAGATGTGCTTGAGCTACTGGCATTAGTTTGGTATTTCAGCCTAAGCTATAACAAGCCGTCTAGAGTATTTAAAAATGAGAACTGGTTTCTCCTCTCCAGGCAGTTTTCCAAGAAGCATATTAATAAAGTATATCACTGTCTGAAAAAAATGATCTGGCCTATCTCACTGCACAGTGCAGGAGGATGCATTTCTTTAGTAGGATTTATTATTTGTGAGTGAAATAAAAATATAGAAAATAAAGATAAATGTTTCAACACTTTTAATGCTTTTTAGTTCTTCATTTTATATTGACCTCAGTTTTAGGATACCATATTGGTTTCTTTCAAATTAAAAAAAATATTACTTAATAAAATCAGGGTGGAAAGGTGCACATTTGAAGACAGAAATTACAAAGTTCTGGAGTCTTCTTAGAACACTATTTTGGTGCCAGTGGAGACCTTCAATTTCAATGATCTCATAATTATGTGTTTTCCTTTATTATCATTTCTTTAAATCACTCAAAATTTAAATATCATTATGCATATAATTTTAGGTTAAGATAATTATATAATTTTTAGCTTAAAACTAAAATCCTGCCATATACTTATGAGGCTAAACTTCCCATATGCAATTGTAGAAGCAAGAGTTAGGACGTAAATTGGTGTCAGGCTGTGCAGGGTTTGAGAGGCACACCATGAATGGGTTCTGTGTGGCAAGCCAAGGGCAATTGTTGGCATTGAGCAAAGGGATGTTTTAATCAGACTTGTTCCTTCGGGTGACTAATATGAAAGTAGCCTGGATGG